ATAATGATAATGATAATGATAATGATGATGATGATAATGATAATGGTAATGATAATGATAATCATAATAATAAAAATAATAATAGTTATAGTTATAATGTCAATGGTAATAATAATAATAACAGATATAATAATAATAATAATAATAACAAAAAATATATATAATAATAATAATAATAATAATAATAATAATAACAATAATAATGATAACAATGATAAAAGTAATAACAACTCAATAATGACAATGATGATAATGAAAACAACAATAATAATAATAGTAATAATGATAATGATAACAATGAAAATAATAATAATAGTAATAATGAGTTACATTAATGATGAAAATTATTATATAAAAATAATGATGATAAAGATGATGATTATGATAATTATAATAATGATAATGATAATGATAATGATAAAGTTAAAGATAATAACAATAACGATAACAACAATAATGATAATAATAATAATAATACTAATAATAATAACAATAACTATAACAATAACAATATTAATTATAAAAACAATAATAATAAGGATAATGATAATAATAATAATATTAATAACAGTGATGATGGCGATGATGATAATGACAATGATCATTGTAATAATAAATATGATAGCAGTAATAACGAGAATGAGAATGATAAGGCTGATAATAATAATGATAATCGTAATGATAATAATGATGATAGTTATAATACTGATAATAATAACAATTACAATAGTAATGATAATAATGACAATAATAATGATTATCGTAATAATAATATTAACAATGATAATAATGATGATGATAATGATAATGAAAATAACAATTTTGACAATTATAATAAAAATGATGATGATAATATTGATAATAATAATTATGATAATAATAATCTTTTATAATAATGCTGACAATTATGATAGTGATAATGATAAAGATGATAATAATAATAATAATAAGGATAATGATAATAATCATGATTAAAAAAGGGATCACAATCATAACGATACTACTACAACTATTTCTAATAATAACAATAATGGTAATGATAATTGTAGTGTACGGCAGCGTACTCGCCAACAATCTTATCTACCACGAGCTACGCGGTAGCTTCACTGAAGAATCCTGCACCCTGGTTGCGGTCTTGGTGCCTGACCACCTGTGGGCACACACATATAGAAGATCTTGGACACTACCGCTTCCAACGTGTGCTGCGCTAGGCCCTGTCTCGGACACTGGGACAATTGCCGTGGTCCCGTTGGCCTTGGTCCCCGCCGAGGACCTAATGTGCAGAACACCTGCATGAGGCTGATGCTTCACCCGCCATTTGCGCCTCGCCCTCCCGGTTCATAAGCCGAGACCAATGCCACACAAGTTAATGTGAACTTATTTTTATGACCATTAGACGTCTTTAAAACCAAAGATAATTACTTGGATGGCTGTGAGGTCGCCAAGAGAAATAAGATTTATTTATTTTCGAAGCCAAATACTGGAAATATCTACTTCTCGAAATGTAGTTTTCACTTAAACTGTGTATCATCAATCTTCCTCAGCAATCTCAATCTTTCCCTAGCGACGCTTCCAAAGTGTCCCTGAAGGGAGTAATGGTCGTCGGTTCTTTGGCATGGCCTTGGGGGTCTCTTTCGGGGTCTAAGTACCCATGGTTTGGGAAGGGAAAGAACTTCGATCCTGACTTCTGTCTTCTACGATGGTCCCGTTCTTAGTGTTATATTTCTGAGTTCGTATATTTTCCGAAATTCAAGTAATTTTCTGTGGTTTTGTGTACGAGACTACTGGTCTTTTTTGGACATGCTGCATTAACATCTGCAGGGTTCATTCTCTTTGAAGTCTCAAAGCTATGCTCAGTGAGCCAAAGTGTCAGAAAGCATAAAAGGACCACTTCACATAGGAGGGACACTGCTTGATGATACGTACCTAGTGTTTTTTTTTGTTTTTTTCTTTCTTTCTTTCTTTTTCTTCCTTAATAATCCCGCCCCTTGTACTTTCAGGACCTTTTTTACTCTTTTTCGATGTGTTCTTTTGGTTGATCTTCCTGATCGGTACCCCTTTTGGTATTATTTTCCTTTTATTTTGCCTTATTCTCTAAACTATTTCTTACACAGCATTTTTATATGTACAAGTGTTTTTTAGTTCGAGTTTATCTTTTTTCTCTCTCTTTCCCTCTCAAATTTGCCATTGTGGGTTGGATATTGTTTTATTTAGGGATCTTAATGTTTTTGTGCTGACACCCTAGGTAAAAACACTTCTGGAGTTGGGACGCCAACTTAGGGATAAATACGTGTTTATGTTTTATTTTTAAGTACATTTGGTGTTGGTTTTCACGAGCATCACCCCTCTGTGATAAATTAGTGATCCGCGCATTTGTAACAATTTCCCGTGACTGAATTACCTGTATGACTCCCTAGTGAGTGCAACTTTCTCAATAAACAAACATCATACCGTCGTAGAGCTTTCACTCAGCCCCAGTCAGAAAAACAACTGATATTTA